CTTGCTTAGCACAAGTATTAACACATCTTGCCCAAAGAAGCTGTGCAGTCTTCAGCCCTGAGCAGCCCAGTCTGACTTCATGGACAACCTTGCTTTGAGCAGAAAGTAGGACTAGAGGCCTCCTAAGGTCTATCTCACCCTGCATTATTGCATGATTCTATGAATTTGCATACAAAGCATTACAGAAAAATGCTCTAAGTAATGCTGACTTTACTGTCAGAAATGAAAATTGTCCTTTGTTTATAGTACCACACAAAAGTATTCTTATAGCTGGGAGTACAGTAGCCTTTAACTGCCCAGAACAACCTCACATGGGACTGTGTAAGTACAGACCTGGGACTTAGTCTCTGCCTGAACTATTCTGTAGGTGATATTTACAGGTTCCTCATATATTGCCTTTTAAAATGAATACTATGAGATATGGAACAGCAGTAGCTAAATATAATTTTAAATTCTTTATAGTGATAACTGTGTTCTTCAGTGGACATGAAGATCTCACATTTCAAATTCACAGAAGCTTCATAAATAGTGTAGAACAGAAATAATGTTTAGCTGTATTCAAATAGATTAATATGATATGGATAGGTACCTTCACTTCTCGTAATTACCTGTGCTACACTGGCAATCAGGTATAATATGACAATTGCAAAATTAATGAGATCATTCTTTTTCATGTTAAAAAGTCATGTGTCAAACGTGCATTACACTTTTCTAATGACCTAATATAAAATTAAATGTTTAAACTGTATTATCTGTCTTGATTTATCATACTTAACTGCTACCTCTTTGATAAAATGTTCCTTAATGAAGTCAAAGCATATTCTGATCATAACTAATTGTATTTCAGTTAGAAGACTGAAGACATAGGACTATAACTGATAAAAACAGATTCAAATTCAGTGACACTAAAGAAGCTAGTATATGGTACCCACATAGTTGTCCAAATAGTGAGTAGAATACAAGAAAATGGCATGGTATAATGTACCACATAGGCTTGTCTGTTCTGTGTCTGTGACAGCATGGTCCTGCTCCATAACTGCTGCAGTGTACAGAAGATTATAATTTGAGATTGGCTTTGACTACACTGTCCTCAGAAAAATTAAACATTCTACAAGACAAATCATTTAGAGGTTCCACCTAGAAAACAATAAAGTACATGAGGATAATAAATTTATAATTCCTCCATACATTTACATGGGGTTTTTGTTTTTTGTTTTTGTTTTTTTTTTCCAAAACATTCAAGTTTTTGGTGTTCATGCTTATGGGGGCAGTAATAGACCTAATGAGTACCACACATTTTCAGGAAAATGGGTCTTTCATTCACTGATATAAGGAAGGAAATAGTGAGAGCTGTGAAAGTCAGCCTGGAAGATACGTGAAAAGAAAGAGAGGATAAAGTTTGTATATATTAGCTTAATCAATCTCCATTGTCATTTCCCCCCGTTCAATAAATGAAGGGCAAACGAGAAAAAAAAATGGCAGCTTTTTATGACTATGTTCCAATACCCATAATGTTAAATCATCTGAAATCCTTTTAAACCTGAGCAGCAGTGTTTTCACTCTTATGGCAATCCAGAAATTGTTATTCTGCACACTGAAAAGAAAAAAGCATAAATGAAATTACTATAGGCTTTAGAGATGTGGTGAAATATTTCATCCTGTTAACCAGGGATGTTTCTATACATCAGGGACCTAAGAACATGCTCAATGCCTTAGTAAAGTGGTAGTAATAGGTTGTGGGACTTTTTGGAAGAGGAGCAGGGAGGACTCTGACTGGAGACAGCCATCTTTCTGAAAATTCCTGTAAAGTTGCTCTGGACTCTCCTTTGCTTATTCTATTAAAAGTATGCCTATTGGACAAGCCCGAGATAAATTGTTATTCTCTGGTAATGTCACATCAATTGGTGGGAGGAAATAAAAAAGCTATATAGAACATACTACACCATTGTATTATATGCATTTAAAAGTAACCTTATAAAATTATTGGTATTATGGTTTTCATTTGAAAATAAAGGCTGCCAAATATAATGTGTATGATGTATAGAACAGAGACTTCTAGCTGACAAAGGCTAAGTAAATTTCCTACTGTGCTTAAAGCCAGCAAGGCACTTTCATTTTAGCTGGCTTTGTAGTGATTCTGCCTGGGGAGAATTAATGTCCTTTTAAGGTTGGACAGCATATACAGACATACTCCTTGACCATAAGTGCAAGGACTATTTCAGCCTGGTCAGTAGACAACATTATAATAATCTGACTCCCACTGAGTTTAAGTGACAAGGTTTTGGTAGTGGGGGCAACGAATGGCCTCTGTGAGAAGAATCCAGAAGCTGTCCCATGGTAGGTAAGGGCCAGTTTCAGCAAGCTCCAAAGGGACCAGCTGCTGTTCCGAGCCAAGCCAATAAGTTTGTGCATCTATGAGAGCAGATTTAAGAAAGGGGGAAAACATACATACAAACAACTGCTACACAACAGCAGCTGGGAGAGTGAGGAGGAGTGAGAAACAGCCTTGCAGACACCAAGGTCAGTGAAGAAGGGGGTGGGGGGGGGAGGGAGGACAGAATGTGTTCCAGGTGCCAGATCAGAAGCTCCCCCAAGGCCTGTGGAGAGGACTAGGATGGAACAAGTTGTCCTCCTGAAGTATATCGTGTACCATGACGGAGCAGGTTTCCATGCTGCTCCATGGTGGAGCAGGTGGATCTGATGTGAAGGAGTCCAGAGAAGACTCCAGTCTAGAACTGCAGTCTATGGAGAGGAGTCCATGCAGGATCATGTGGGAGCAATTTGCTCTTGATGGATGGACCCCGTGGTACGGAGCCATGTGGGAACAGTTCTTGAAGAGCTGCTGCCTGTGGGCAGCCCCCGCAGGCTCATTTCAGGAAGGATGGCATCCTGTGGGAGGGACCCCATGTGGAGCAGGGGCAGAGAGTGACTGTGAAGGAGCATCAGAGACAAAGTGTTACAGACTGAGCACAACCCTCATTCCTTATTCCCCTGTGCTGCTCAGGGGAAGGAGGTGGAAGAGGGTGAATGGGGGGAAGGTGTTTTTAGTTTCTCATTGCTTTAGCTTGTTAGTAATAGGCAATAAATTATATTAATCTCCCTATGCTGAATCTGTTTTGCCCATAACAATCATTGTTGAGTGATCTCCCTGTCCTTATCTCAATCCTTAAACCCTTTTCATCCTATTTTATCCCCCTTGCCCTTTGAGGCAGGAGATAGCAGTTGCAGTGGAACTCAGCTTCACAGCTGGGTAAAACCGTCACATGTACTTGTATCTAAGTTAACATCACAGATGCTTTATTTTAAAATTAGTGATTAGAAACATTCCCCCTCCCCCCCCCCCCTTTTTCTACTTTGCTCACAATTCTTTACATGAAGGTCACATACTACCTTACAGAAGAAATGCTGATCTTGCCTCCTAAGCACATTTTTACTGATTTTTTAACTGCTTACATCTTTGCCTTGAGAAAAGAAAGCTTTAACGTTGCTAGAGATAAAACAATTTTCTCAATTTATCTGTTTTCATTATTAGTGTTTAGCATGTTTAAATTTACAAAATCATCTTACTTCATGTACCTTGCCCTATATGACTAGCTAAATTAATAAACTACACAGCAGTGAAGGAAAAGACATGTTTAACAGGTGTTACAATGGTAACATGCTCCTTCCAACTATGGAAGCTTAAAAAGACATTTTAAGCCAAACTGGCTATTTCTTTTGAAATAGATTAAGTTATTTTATGTTCTTTTCTTCTGGCAGAACAAAAGATTGTTTCACTTCCAGTATACAGCAGTAGCCAAGCAGCTGGGAAAGCTACGTCTTTGATTATGCCAACTGGAACCAGAAGAGCCAAAGCCTAAAATAAATTACATAGGATATAAATGCCTTTTAACATGCACTATGTAACATTTTAACTGCATGTCCATTTTCCTACATGCATAAAATCTATCTTAGCCAGTAACTTGACAAAGACTGTTCACCTGAATTCTCAGAATAGGAAGAAAATTATCAAATTTATTGGCATTGGATAAGAGTAAATAGTACTAGTGATAACAACTCATCACTAGGCAGGAAAAAATAAAAAGGATTTGCTATTAATAACAGACAATAAAGTAAAACCATATAGAGCAATTGAACTGGCTAAATTAGCAAATTTAGGAACAATGGGAAACAATGAGATATTGATAGTGCTAGAAACTTTGTAAACATGATCACTAGGAAAAGCAGAAAAAAAGTATCCTGTAGTTTTTCCTTGGTATACTCAGCATGTATTACTAGTTTTTAGCCTTTTTTGGCTAAATACTGGATACATGGCTATTTGGCTGGATACTATTTGCAATTGTTAGGGGTTGCTGAACCCAGTAGCCCAATAGGGGTTTTGAAATTAACTTGATCAAAAAAAATTGATGCTGTCTGTCGTGTCTCTATGCACAAACAAAATAAGGTACATAGATTCAAGAAGGTTCATAGACAAGTAAAGGTTACCTATATAGGTGGTGGTGTTGTTTTTATTTGTTTGTTTCTTTTCTGATGGATCTGTATGATATACAGCCACATTAACTAGTGTTACTAGGCAGTTTTCTGATTACTAAGAACATTTGCTGTTTACAGAATTGTAGTGTTTTCACACAGATGTGCAGCTGAACTTCACACCACACAGCTCTTCTCTCCACCTCAAAGGAAAAGGTGGAGAAATTCAAGGGTTGAGACAGGAAGATCACTCAACAATTACTGTCATAGGCAAAACAGACTAAGTGTAGGGAGACTAATGTGATTTATTGTCAGTTAGTAACAGACTAGAACAGTGAGAAATTAAAAGCAAACTAAAAATACTTTCCCAACCTCTTCTACCCTCCATGAGTGGCTCAGAGGAATGGGAAATGGGGGCTGCAATCAGTCCATAACACTGCCATCTGCCGCTCCTTCATGGTAACTTTCTTCACCTGCTCCAGCTTAGATTTCTTCTCACAGCACACAATCCTTCTCAAACTGTACTTATGCATGTTTCAAGAACTGGTCCCATATGGGTCAGTAACAAGAGGTACAGCAACAGACTTCTCCAGCATGTGCTCCCCAGAGGCAGAAGACTCACCAGATTATCTGCTCCTGTGTGGGTATCTTTACATGGGTTGCAGTTCTGGCCTGCAGTCTGTTCAAGGGGACTTGTATCTTCCAACAGGCCGCAGCCTCCTCCAGGCCACATCCACCTGCTCCACTGTGGGTTCCTCCTTGGGCTGCAGCATGAAGATCTGCTGCACCGTGGTACATCATGGGCTGCAGAGGGCCTGTTCCACCAGGGGCCTCTTCACTGGCTGCAGGGGAACTTCGGTTCTGGTGTCTGGAGCACCTCCTACCTTTCTGCATTGACCTTGGTATCTGTAGGGCTGGATCCCTCTACATATTCTTGCACCTCTTTCAAAGCAGCAGTGTTTGTTGTTTTTTTGTCGTTTTTTTCCCTTTCTTAAATCTACTTTTCACCGAAGCACAACTGGCATTGCTCAACTCTGTCCACCAACAGGTCCCTTTTGGAGATGGCTAGAACTGGCTCTTATCTAACATGGGGAGGGCTTGCTACCAAACCTTGCCAAGTAAACCTAAATTGGAATTTTAATAACTTTGTTCTTTTTGGAGATGCTAATTTTGAATTATTTTATGGATATACATGTACATGTTTGCTGTTATGGAACATATAGTGACTTTGCTCTCTAGACCCCGATACTTTTCATAGACAGAAGGGCTCTTCTTTTCATGTCCTTTTCAAAGTCTACTAGAAAGTATAATTAAAATTATCAGAGATACAAAGAAGATCGTGAACCAAGGGAGTGGAGACTACAATTTTTAGTTTGATGCTAAGACCAGAGTGGAGAAATGTTTCAGATAAATCACCCATAGATAATTTTGGTTTGGTATAGTATGGTTTTGTTTCATTCATTTTACTTTATTTTATTTTATTTAATTTTATTTTGCTTTATTTTAGTAAGTGAAGCTACTTGGGTAAGTATTTCATTGGTTTTCTATGCAGATCAGTGAGCTAACAGAGAGGATATTTATAAAACATGCTATTCAAAAATAATTACTTAAGAAGACATTGTCTCATAAATACAAGAAGTAGTTTGCTCAAGCAATGAGTAATTCCAAGAGACCACATTTATCTTAATTATATATCTGTAAGCATGTTTCTTAGAATAAATTTGTTATAATTTTAAGAACATTTTCTCATATTTTAAAACACAGAATACAGAGAAAAATGAAGTATTTGATCATACAATTATACAAGAATACTTGATGTTAAAGTTTGAAAGTTGCAAGTAAACTCCACAGAATTTTGCCAGTTGAAGATGTTACTTTCTGTGTAAGTAAAGCTTTAAGACTGAATTTTGGAAAGAAATTTCCATTTTACCCTGAACCGTAATGGAATTACGTCTACATTTTGCCCAAATAAGTCTTTTTTCAAGGGCTATTTGAAAAGCTACTAAGTGAAATATATGCATTTCCAATGGAAAACAGATGAGCATGTTTGAAATTTCCAGTAGGAAGTTAGCAATTAATTTTGCTGAAACATGTTATTATATTGTGCTTTGACACATCCTGAAGTACCACTTAGTGAAAATATAAAAAGATTCAGAGTGATTTCCAATAGAAAAAACATTATTAGTTTAACATAGCAAATGTTCTGACAGAACTGTATTTTTGAAATGCCTACTAACTGCTAGTGTATAACACACCTGGTGCAGATATAAAACCTAAATATGTAGAGACAAGATAACACACCTTTCCTTGCTCTGGCTCTTCTTTTTTATAATTGCATATCCAATCATACATGCAATAGAGTGACTTTACATAAGCTGGGGTAATAAAGTCAGAGTGGTATCATTTTTGTTGCTCTTAATTTTATTATACAAATCAGTAAATTCTTAAAAACTTACAGGAAAAAAAAATCTGAATGACAAACTATTATAGTACTGAAAACAGAAAAAAATAAGATTTTCACTTCAGTGATTCAAGTAAACTCTTCCATTATGTTTTCTTCACTGTCTTGGCTTTGGCACGCTTTTCAAGCTGTTTAATGTTCTCCAATTTCTTTTCTCCAGGTTGAAGATCCTTCTGTTGCTCTAACTTATAAGTTAGACTAACAAGTATATTGCCTCTTTGTTGTAACACACTCACCCTACAGTGACCCATACTGAACCCTCTGCAATGGAAGAAGGCTCAGTGGAGATAGCCAAAGGCTCATGAAGACTTAGGAATGACTGACCAGTGTTGCAAAGAAAGCTGAATTTATCTCACCACAAAGGAGATCGAGGGGTAGCCTTTGTTCTAGATAAATAGTTGTATCAGATGAGTGAATCAACTGCTTATATTAACTGAGTGAATCAATCAAGTGAATAACTGGCCATGAGTTAATCAGAAGACTGCCAACATATCTAACTTAGCCATATCCTTATGGGTTATGTATGTGCAGCTCAGCCCAACAGCGTATAAGAAAACAAATAGCAAACAGAAAGAACTCCAAACACAACAACAGGCTTGAGCTGCTTTCAACCCAGGTATTTCTTCCCAGTAACTGGGGATGCCTAACAATGTGACAGTGAGCATATTATACAGACCAGTAATAAAATTCACATTTGTACTGTGATTCAATTGTATATTGAAATTGGTACACTCTGCAAAGCATGTTTGTAAACCTATTATAATTTAGGTACATCTATCACTCCAACATCAAAAATCACAGAATTTCTAGGTTAGAAGAGACCTCCAAGATCACCGAGTCAAACCTCTGAGCTAACACTAACAAGTCCTCCACTAAACCATATCCCTAAGCTCTACATCTAAACGTCTTTTAAAGACCTCCAGGGATGGTGACTCCACCACCTCCCTGGGCAGCCCGTTCCAATGCCTCACAACCCTTTCGGTAAAGAAGTTCTTCCTAACATCCAACCTAAAACTCCCCTGGTGCAACTTAAGCCCATTCCCCCTCGTCCTGTCACCAGGCACGTGGGAGAACAGGCCAACCCCCACCTCGCTACAGCTTCCTTTAAAGTACCTGTAGAGAGCAATAAGGTCACCCCTGAGCCTCCTCTTCTCCAGGCTGAACAAACGCAGCTCCCTCAGCCGCTCCTCGTAGGACTTGTTCTCCAGGCCCCTTACCAGCTTTGTCACCCTTCTCTGGACCCGCTCAAGCACCTCGATGTCCTTCTTGTAGCGAGGGGCCCAAAACTGAACACAGTACTCGAGGTGCGGCCTCACCAGAGCCGAGTACAGGGGGACAATCACCTCCCTAGACCTGCTAGTCACAGTGTTTCTGATACAAGCCAGGATGCCGTTGGCCTTCTTGGCCACCTGAGCACACTGCTGGCTCATATTCAGCCGACTGTCCACCATCACTCCCAGGTCCTTCTCTGCCTGGCAGCTCTCCAACCACTCATCTCCCAGCCTGTAGCTCTGCTTGGGGTTATTGCGCCCCAGGTGCAGGACCCGGCACTTGGCCTTGTTAAACTTCATGCAGTTGACCTCAGCCCATCGGTGCGGCCTATCCAGATCCTCCTGCAGAGCCTTCCTACCCTCGAGCAGAAGGAACTTGGTGTCATCTGCAAACTTACTGAGGGTGCACTCAATGCCCTCGTCCAGATCATTGATGAAGATGTTAAAGAGGACCGGCCCCAGCACCGAGCCCTGGGGGACACCACTAGTGACCGTCCTCCATCTGGATTTGACTCCATTCAGCACAACTCTTTGGGCCAAGCTATCCAGCCAGTTTCTAACCCAACGAAGCGTGCGCCAGTCCAGGCCTCGAGCAGCCAGTTTCTTGAGGAGAATGCTGTGGGAAAAGGTGTCAAAAGCCTTACTGAAGTCAAGGTAGACCACATCCACAAATGCAGCATCATATTATCTTAAATTTACTAATTAAATATTAGGAACTCCATGTGCAGAAAAGCCGGAAGAATTTGGTCAGAGAATCTTGGATATGCATACTGGCAGCAACAGAAGTTATGTCAAAATGCCTTATAATGGAAGTTAATAGCACTTAGATAGCCTAGGTATATTTAGGTCATATAACTAGGACTTTGTCATAGGACAAGAACCAGACTGTACAGGATCTTGAGGTTACAGAGTGAAAGCACTGCAGTCTCACAGCAACTACTGAAGTTGGTATATAGGTGTAGCTTCACTGAAAGGTTTATTTCTCCTTTCCTAAAGATTTTCATACTTCCCTACCAGAAAAAGAAGTTCCAGCGTATGACTTTAACCTATAGTTTGATAAAGAACATCTTCACAGAATTTAAGTATTTGTTATAAATGAAGTCTCGACTCAATCTGAATGTAGTAATATTTATAAAAGAAATATTTATAAAAGGTATAAAAGGCAAGTAAACAGTGCTGGGTGTGCGGGGAGTCTACGCTCCACCAACATGCACACACGAACATCAAACACTCTAAATATACAGAACACTGATTTTACATACTAAACCCGAGTACACCTATACATATGTACAATCAGAAAAGGTAACAAAAAAATCCTTTAAGTTTCATGACTTAACAGTCTCCATTTTCCATTCCTTTTGAACAATATGTCTCACTTTAAGTTGTCAAGCAACTAAGTCTTCAGGCCTTATGTATCCTGTTGATCCCGAATCAAAGAAAAGCATATCCATCTCGTTTTCAAGACCAATAGGGCCTGGGTCAAAAGGCACGTCCAGGTCAACAGGGGGCTTAAAAGCAAAAGCCTTCGATGGCAGTAGCGGCAGAGGGGCTGATGGTGTAGCAGTTGGATCAGTAAAGGAGCCTGCAACTCCCTCACTGTAAACTAAATGTTTGTGATTGTGGCCCCACATGGCCACAAGGCTATGGCTCTTTAAGGCCTCAGAGACTGCTCGCCAGGTGCCAATCAATCCCACTGCAACCTTGTCGTTTTTAGTTACAGAGTCCCACACCTTGACCTCAATTTGGTCCCATATTTCAGGATCATAAACTAACTGATTGTTAATAAGGAGAATAAGCTGTAAGGTTACCAGGACAGTCTTTGTTCCTAAGGACATATGATTCCCCATAATATGCAACTGATTACCAGCGAGGGGCAGTTGTGTGCGCGGGTTCACTTCTCTCAGCTCGAGCTTCTCTCCAGCTCCAGTGCGCCTATTTCCAGCGACTTTCTGTACGAGCTTCTCTGAGCAGTTTGCTGAGTTTGGCTGAACCTATCTTCATGAGGAAATCAATGTACCTGTTCCTGTCCTGGTCTCCATTCTGCCAGATTGTTCCTCTTCACTTCTTTTTCCTGCTTCTTTATTGATGACATAACTTCATCGCATTGCCCTCCTTTTTTTTTTTTTTAATTTCTTCTTCTTTCTTGAGGGCAGGCCCCCCTCTTATTCCCTTCTCTCCACAGCAGTTCTTTTCAAAACAACTTTTCATTGGTCAAACAACTTTGAATGTAACAACAGCAAACACCCAGAAACTTCCATGCCTTAATGTCTGGAGAACAAGAAACCCAAGACTGCATGGAGTCTCCTGAATCACCCTTCTTTGTTCCCTCTAAACTCTTTTATATTCCTGATGGCCTCATCCTTAAGAGTCTAATGTTATCTCAATCACGGGGTTTTCCAACCCCCATGGCCACATTCTCAAATCTCCCCCTTCTTTATTAATATCAACCATTTTCTCAACATGAATTACCACTCCATATATAACATTAAGACACTTGTAAATCATTATCATTACTTCTTAAAGAGCTAAACTTATGGTTTTGTCTTACTTTTCTGAAAAACTATTTTCCTAAATCAACGCTACCTTTAAGCTTTAATGTTCTCTTTTACAGATTTCAAATCTTTTCTGAAGACCCAGGAACTGGATGCATTTTTCCAACAGTAGTCAACCTAATTGTTTGTGTAGAAAATATCTTGTCTGTTTATAGTCTTCTGCTAAAAATGTAAATGTAATGCAAATTTACAGAGCTACATGACTGCAATAGGAATGCATTCAAATGGTTTTATATAGTAAAACAGTTATTTTCAGAATTACAAGATATACCTTCTCATCACTGTAGAATATTCACTTTGCAATGGGCATCATATTTGGTTACACCAAAGTTAATGCAATAGATACAATTCCGGGTTACTATTAATCTGTTTTCCAATATATCTGCCATTTCTTCAATGTAAGGGTATTGACAAGATCAAACAATGATTCTACAGTTTCTTCCAGAAAAATGATAAAGTTACTGAAGAGCATTGGCTGACAACAGATCTCTAATAGACCACAATAAATACTTATTGTAGCACAGCCATAGATGTGAGGATACAAATTCACCATTTTTAATTGATCTGGCAAGAGTGACATTGATTTTGTGTCATAGCTTTTATTTATTTATTTATTTATTTATTTATTTTCTATTCAGACTGCTATTTAAACACTGCATAGAAGTTCATGTATATTACATCAAGTTAGTTATTTTAACCAAAGTTTTCATCAAAAATAATGTCAAAATCAATCCATACTAATAAATTTTTGTAGTTTCTATTATGATTATGATTATGATTATGATTACATAACTTTCTCATTTGTTTAGATCAGTGATGACCTACTTACCATATTTGGTTATCAAGATAATTTCCTCTACTCCTTTTGAATATCACCTCTTTCATCTTTCAGTTGTCTGGTGCATTCCCAGAATTTCATATTTTTTTAGCAAACATTTCCAATGATTAAAATAAATCCTGCATATGACTTTTCAAGTTCTTTAGATAGTACTTTAGATAGTACAGTACTTTGATATGGGCACAATTATAATTTATGTTTTGTTGTTGTTGTTGTTAAAATGTTTTATAGGATGTTCTGTTTTGTAATATAGGATGTTCAGCATATATCCCAGGAATGGAAATACTTCAAGTCTATATTTCTCATACTATTTTTTAGTTATATAGAAACAGTGTTGTTGTTGAAATGGTGAAATATACTCCACTAGATCCTGCTACAAAAGAGATGACCTTTGACCTAACTTCATTGTCCTTACTCGGTTCTAGTGACTTCAAAATTGGAAAGAAAAGTGAATTTTTCAAAAGCATTGATTAACAAATGTAGTTCAAGGTGAATTTTTTCTTAGCAATATGATCTCTAATAAAAATAATTAAACTTTTTTTTTCCTGATCTATAAAACAGGTGAGACATATGTCTTGAGGGCTAACCCATACTAGACACATTTATAGAGGAATTTCATTATATTAAATAAAGCAGCATATGTTAGTAATTTCTTATCTGCAACAAACTGGATCTTTTGAAATCAGATTATAGATAATATTTGCAAATATTTTGCCTGTTGAATGTTGTTGAAGTTGTATTTCAGTTCAGTTTGGAATGTCTTTTACTCACTTCTACCAGAAGAACATTGCAATTGCTTGCAGTATTTTTCAATTTTAAGGTAAAATATTTAAGCATCTTTTCATTTTTAGCTTTGTAACAGTAAGTACTGGTGCTGAATTAATATTCCTACTAAAAATGAATTTAGTTCAGGGAAGGTAAATAATATGGCCCACCTTTAACTTGTCTAATTAATTCTGTTTAAAATATGTTAGGTTTCTGTTGACAAGGTACTGTCTTTAGGGAGTGGACAGGAAGTGGTATGAGGACATCTTTCAATGTTCTTTGTTTTCCCCAGTTAGATAGTAAATCTAATGTACATTAAGGACAGATATATTCACATGCTGAATTTGAGATTCTCA